AGCACAGGCACGGTGCTCCACAGCACTCAGTAAATGCCTCTCTTTTTACCCTTTGCTTTGCTGGTTCTGGTTCTTCCACACCCAGGAACATTCCCATTCCCATTTTTTACACCAATTTTAACATTTCCACTACAAACCTCCATAAGTCTATCACCTTGCCTACAGCTTCAGCATATTTTTGTGCTGCCTCCCTGAAGCCTCGTGAATTCCTTGTCTGTAAAGTGAATTTTTTTGGTGGAAGGAATAAGGGAAAGGACTGAAAAGCCTCTTCCCTTCCTCCCCAAAAAAAAACCTGGAGATGAGGCTCCAGGGAGAGGAGGTGCCCAGGAAATTTTTCAAGTGGTCCAGAACCTCTGATAGCAAAAAAAAAAAAAAAAAAGGCCAGGATTGGGGAAAAAAAGCTATAAAATGGGTCCAGAGTTCACCCAGGAGATGGAATTAGGCCTGGAGACAGGGATAAACACTATATACTTATACAGTCCTTATAACTATATAATCTTTATGTAGTAACTGTATAATCCTTATATAGTTAAGGATTAATGTTGGAGAAGAGAATAATGAAATATCCTGAGTTGGAAGAGCAAAACTGTGAAAAATGCATATTATATAGCTCTACGCAGATAGTTACTGTATGTATTATGTTATATTGATTTGTTGTAGTTAAAATGAAGACTTTAGTAGTTAATGAAAAACAAAATAAAATAGAGACTCTATATGTGGGGGGGGAAGTTTTTTTTCTTCATTTTTTTAGGGTGAGATACTTGCTTTGGGGAACACCTACATCTTCTAAAGGAGAGGAATTTATGGCTTCTTATCAGAAGAAATTAATTTCTTCAGGCCTTACTCAGACTCGAAGATGCCAGGGGATTAAAGGAAACAGTTGACATACAACGGACAGAGTATATTTTTTAAAATAAAATGTATGCATCACCATGAAGAATGTATAAATATGCAACAAGGGTATTGTTTTAAGGGTAATTCCTTTGTTCACAAGACATGCTTTTCGCAACTTAATGTCTGAGAGCATCCGGCCGGCCGTAATTCTTTGCCTTTTATTGTCTTGTAATTATCCTAACTCTAAACTTTATTACTTTAATTATATTACTATATTTGCAACCATTTTATTATTATTAAACTTTTAAAATTTTTAAAAAAACCAAGTGGTTGGCGTTTTTCATGAAAAGGATCAGCAATTCCAACTCCAGAAGTCACCACCTGAGGCCAGAAACAGATGGAGACAAACCCCAGCACACGGCCAAGGTCATCCAGGACGTGGCTGGAGACGGGGACACTTACAGGGCCTAAAGGGTTAAGCTTGAGCTTAACAGGGTTCCTGGAGCCATGGGCACAGTCTGGGGAGGGCCCTGCTGAGATTGCTCGGGGAAATTAAAGTTTTTGCCAGAGAAACAAGCTCTTTAAAGAGTTTTCCTGTCGAAAGTTAAAAACAAGCACGGCTGAGGGTGAGTCACGCAGACTTTGGAAGGAGGAAGTGTGAGAATTCCAACACCAGCTGAGCATCACCAGGCAGCGATCCACTTTCACCTCAGGCTCGGGGAGAGAAGGGAAAAGGAAATGTGGATGTCAGCCAGAAGTGAAAGTTCATCAACCTGACAGCCAGATTCCGACAGCAGGCTGTGGCTGGAGGGGGCAGATGAAGGTTTTATTCCATTATCAATAAAGAATATAATAAATGGCGTGGCCCAAAGACTTGGTTGGGCACCTTTATTTCAGGAATTTTTAGGGATCTCAGTAGCTTCCTGAGAAAAATCCCAGGTTTTTCCTCAGAGGATGCAATAGAGGTGGTAGAGGACAGTGACCTGTTTGGCACCATCGACAGCAAAGGATAACCTGCAGCTTGGTTTGCCCGTGGAAAATCTATGTCCAGAGCATCCTTGGATGCTCCAAATATGATCCTGAGGGTCTCCTGGGCAAATTTGGTCCAAAGAGATCAGGAGGGACTTCAGGAGGAGGAACACGCAGGGTGGGATGAGGAGGAAGGGCTGGGATATGGAGTCAGGCCTCCCATTCAGCCCGGTGCAGCAGGGTGGTGGGAACAGGAATTCCAGGGATGGAATTCCAGCTCCAGCATTCCCTGGAGTGGAATTGAGTGGGGCTATGCCAGCACCTGGGCAAGGAGGACCTTCATGCCCAGATTATGTTGCGGCAAAGTGCTCTGGGCAAAGAGAATTCTGGGGATGAGAGGAAGCAGCAAGGATGGAGATGCTGGGTTCCTGCTCCCTCACATCCTCCCAGACCTCTGCCAAAATTATTCTCCACGTTTCGACAGGTGAGATTGGATTCTGTCACAGAGCAGTTCCAACCCCCTCTGGAAAAAATCTGAACAATTCCCAGCTCCAGAGCATGATGCAATTACTGGAAATAAAAAGGTCTCTGTCCCCTTCCTGGGTCATCGGAGGAAAGCTGTTTGAGCAGTTCTGCTCCACCAACAGGGGAAACATCTCATTTGCAAATTCCTCTGAGGTTTTGGTGCCTCACGTGCGCAGCCAGGCCCAGGAAGTCTCACACAAACCCTGAAACAGAATCGTGGTGGGGAAGGAACCTCTCCCTTGTCCCACCTGGCTCCACAGAAGCTGAACAAGCTTTTGCTGACCCTCAATTACAAGCTTTATCTGGTCTAGTGCCTGTTCAACATCAAACCCTTGCAGGCCTAGTTAGTCTAGCTTTAATTTCTGCACCATCCCTGCTGCCCCAACCCATGAAGGGACCTGTCTCACTTATCATTTCCTGATTTTAACTGTACCCATTCCTCCCCAGCATGCCACAACCATGAAGTATTTACCCCAACACCAGTTTGCCTTCTGATCCAGCCACTTCCTTATCTCCTTCTCCCTCAAGTGTGTTTTCATAGCTGTCCCCACCTTTCCCCAGCACAGCCCACATTCCTGGTGCTGGACTCTACCCCTGCTGCCTCTCTTGCTTCACCCTTTTTGTGAAGAAATATTTTTTGGCCTTGCACTAATAATACTAAGCCAGTGGTTCAATAAAGTCCTCCAACGACCTCTAAACTTGCAAGAAGAGCCTGGAGCACTCAGGACAGTGTTTTGTGGGCTGGACTAGAACAGAAATCTCTGCCAGCAGAGTTTGCTGTGTTGAACTCTACAGTCTGTCCCACACAACAGCCTTTGGGAGGAGGTGGGAGATGAGCTTAGGCCATGGGATATAAAATATCCTGAGTTGGAAGGGACCCAAAAGGATCATCGAGTTCTCAGAAGGGCTTCCTTCTTTACCTGGTGTAATTCCCACCACAGAAAACTGGTCCCTGGTGGTTCTGGTCACCTCTTCCTTCTACAAGCATCCTGTCATTAGTGCTGTCCCCGCCCAGCCATTCCAGCAGAATCGGGATGACTCCAGATCCCGTGCTGGGTTGTGACCTCTGTGACTCTTAGGTCCTCCCTGTTTCCTTCTTATCAGCAGGCATACCCTCTCCAGGAAAAAAAAAAAAAAAAATGGGGCTGATAAGGTCAAATGTAAGTGTGGGAGAAATCCTGGAAGCTGTAGATCTTGGGGATGAGGAGAGTGTAACATAAAATCCCAAATCTGTGTTGGAAAAGATCTTAAAGATCATCCAGTTCCTGCCATAGGCAGGGACATCTTCCACTATCCCAGGGTGCTCCAAA